CAATTGAAGGTATCAACATTAAAACTGTATACATGTAAATATTATATAATAATTTAATATTAAAAACTATCATGTTTACCTGTATAAACTATTATGATAACAGTCTCCATGATTACAATAGCCTCCAAAATAAAATATTTCCCTTCCAATGGCAGCTGCTGCATAGCCATTAACACCCAGTGGAGGGTTACCAGTGGTGGGTTTCTGCTCCCACCTACCAGTCCTTAGGTGACACACCTCCATCACAGAACACATTGATTTCTTCTTTTCATTATTATGTACTGCAGGGAGATCAGGCTGGCCCCCACCCCACATGTACAGGTAGTCTCCTACCCGTACAGTGGAGTGTTCTCTCCTCTTCCCTGGTTGATAGTCTATAGATAACAAGAGGTAACAGTAACTGAATGATACACTAATAGTAACAACACACGAGTCATAATCAAGTATAAACAAAATACTGACCTGGTGCTTTGGCTGCCATTTTGTTTGGAGGTGACGCCTTTCTATGACGTCATACAAATAGTTTAATAAACTGTGAGGACAAGAAATTTTTGTTTCGCAATTTTTTAATTAAAAAATAAAATAGCAAAAGTATACCCTATCAACAAAATCTGCAGCAACAACAACAACAATAATAATAATAATAATAATAAATCAATCAGCCAACAATGCATTATAGTTAAACAAATGTATGTTACATGTACATGTATATAAGTGTACATGTACATGTATTAGTGTATTATAGTATATGTATTGTTTTTAATTAAAAGACATCCAAGAATCAGCTCCAGAAGGGGGAGGGGCAGCCCCGCCCCCTCTGCTAGTAAAACTATCACCAAACATATCCATACCACCTCCAAAACCACCCCCCCGTCCCGGGGGCAGGGGGCAATGCACCAAAAGTATTGTCAAACCCAGAAGGGGCGGGGCCAGAAGTAGTGGGCGGGGCATCAGTGAAGTCTAAATCAGGTGGACGGTATGGTAGAGGGGGTGAAGTTTCTGTGTTAGTGGGTGGGGATTGGAATATTGTGGGAGGGGCCGGTTCAGGTTTTGATGTTGTTTTGTCACGAGCTATTGAGACCAGATCAGAGAATGCATCAATTTTGCCCCCGGCCCCCTGAGGGGGCTGTCCACCTCCTGGGGGTCCAGCTCCTCCGGTATTAGTAGGTAGGAGTGGCTGAGAGAAATTGCTGTCTAGTAGGAGGTCAGCTGGTAAACTGAAAATATCCTGAGACGGTGGGGGCTAGGGGCCACTGGAAAATCCGCCCATGTCCCCTCCAAATTGAAACTGTCCCGTTCCGTACCCGGCAGGAGGTCCCATTCCCAAACCAGGCATTCTCATTCCCATACCTATCAGGTAAGCAGTGGTTGTGCTTTGCTGTGGATTACGTATAGCGTCCATAAGATCCATCGTAATGGAGGGTTCCTGTACAGGAGGGGGTGGGTAATTAGGGGGAGGGGGCTGGCCGGCCATACCAAACGGGTTTGGTTGTGGGGGTGGGGCAAATGTAGGCGGGGCTTGAGGCTGATTCCCGTACAGACTAGTAAGAGCTCCACTGCCTGAGAAGACGTCAGATAAATCATCAAACCCGCTTG